TACAAACTGCTCTGGTCTCCTGGTTAGGTGGTATTCAGGAGACCAACACTAGGTTCAAACCCAGTTTCTTGCTGATAATTTCGGGGTGTCCTAACACTGAAGCCAAATCTTATCAGCTAGCATTTAACCTAATCTTACCAATAACAGTTTAACTAGGGACTTCCAAAACCTGTACTATGCATGTGTTTGTGGTGTGAATTGCAGTCTACTTTTCTCTACTACTGACAATAAATTTCAAGAGTCCTGGAAAAAACTGCATGTGATTTGGGCCCAGTTGTTTACAGGGAGCCTGAGGGAAGCCCACATTCCTGTTCAGCAAGGGTGGTGTCTGATTTGGCCAACTTATCAAATTTATGCACTACATAGAAAGCCTTTAGAAACTCATTAAAGTCAACGCTTCCATCTTTGTTGAAGTCCATTGAGCTGGCAAGCTCATCAACTTGGGAATCATCAATGTGTTCAACATTGTAGTGAAGACTGAAAAGTCTCCACATGGCACGAAATTCTTCCATGGCAATCAGGCTTGAGTGATCAGAGTCCATGATATTAAATATGATTTGCAGGTCAGATCGGTATCTGTACAGAGTTTCAACTAGAGTAGACTGAATCTCTTTCACAGGTTTTTCAATGTGGATATCCTGGAAGCTGGACATGTAGTCAATATTTCCATCTTTGTCTGTCTTTACCAGATGTGAACTCAGGGATCTCCATGGTAAATTCAGACCCAAAGTTTTCTCCATGGAAAAAGCCCACTGGGTCTTAGACAGTTTTCCTGATTTAGTGTAGTCTTGAAGTTGGACAGCACGAATAAGGTCAGTTTTTCATGCAATTATTCTCTCTCTTAATAATCTGATGGCACTGCATTCCATGGCATCCACCCTTTGGTGAAGAGGTCTCATGCATGTTGCCTTAGTTACTTGGTACTGGAAAAATCAAGGCATCATACCAGAACTCAGTTTGATGTAAGCGCCTCGATTGCTGCCTTCTTCATATTAATTAGAAGCAGAAAATACAGTAACAACCTTCCCATCATGGCAGATTTCATACCCTTCAGGCTTACATTCATGAGACCCTCATGAGCATCTTCAGCTGTTATTTACTGAGAACCTTGGAGGTAATATCTGGCCCAAAATAGCAGCCCCCTCCTCGACTTGTGTTTGGGTAATAGCCAGTTATGCCTCTGGGATCGCTCCACAGAATATCAATAACCTGTCCGCATTCATTCTTTGATAACTGTTCGGAAAAAGAGTGACTTGCTTTGAGTCTTCCATGCATAGCAACAGGTACACCTCCTTTATTTTTCTTCAAGGTCAGTGGCAAGGTTTCCATTTACTGACATTGGTGGCATCAGCACAGACTTCATTTTGTTTCTTTCTAAAACCACCTCATTTAAGAAGTCTGTGGACTCTGATATTCCGCCATGTATGACCAGGATTTCATTGTCAATGATCGTACCAATTGGGAGCCAGGTATAGAGGTCTTCCAAGATTTGTAAGATTTTTTTTCCGTGTAGCTTATATTTATATAAAACTTCTCTCATGAAGCCATACCTCATATTCATCATAAAATCTTCATGGTTCCCTCTGTTGAAGTGCAGGTCATTGGGGTAGACAAGAAAACTCACCAACAGGATCATTAGGATCTCCATGGAATTACTTCCTTGATCTATAAAATCACCATTAAAAATATATGGGTTGCTCCCTGAAGGGAGGCCATTCTTATAGAAGATCAAAAAAAGATCATCCAGTTTCCCATGCAAATCACCACAGATTGTTATCCCTTTGGAAGCAGAAGTATTTATGTGAGTGAAATTCGGCATTTGCTTCAGGACTTTCTTGGTTTCAGATAGCACCTCTAAGACATAATGAGCATGAAGTATCTGTTGTTGCTTGAAGGCCTCAATAAGTAAATCAATATCAGTAAAAGTGAGAGGAAATTGCAGCTGAGGACCATCATAGGAATCTGGGACATCTATCAATGCCACGTATTCCTGTCTATCCTTGATATCCTGGAGGATGCTTTCAAAAAGTCGCCTTATTAATTGTGGACTTTGCTCACATACATGTGCATAGTTTTCCAACATGAAGGAAAAGAAGTTGGATAGCTGCATTTGCCCTTGTTTTTCAGCGTATTCGATGGACTGGAAGATGGTGAGGGCGTAGTGTTGTCTGGCCTTCAACCGAGCTCTGTACCTTCGGTACCAGTTCTGGATGATCAATGTGGCTTTTAGCACTGTCTCAGATTTCTTGTCTTTCATTGAAGAACTGCCACATTCCATGACTTTTATCTAAATCCTATGTGTTCATGAATTCAACTTCTGATTCCAAGACAGAATGCGAAAAGTCCCTCCCTTTACTCTGCGAGGAGCCACTCTTAGCTGATCCCTTTTGGTCAGATAATGTTTCTTCTGGTTGGACAATGCAGAGGTTTTTCCTCACACCAGGTGTTTCGAGAGAAACAAAGATGAGAAAAAAATCTTCCCTATGAGGGAATGCAGAGGTCTTGTGTGTTTGCAAAGTTCAGTTTTCAGCCTCTTCTCAGATGCTCTCTGGCTTTCCTTCAGCTGAGCAGGGATGTGGTCCCCTAACCCGGGCAATGTACAGTTCAGATTTTCAGAGTTATGGGTGTTTTGCATGAATTCCAAATAGGCTTATGAGAACTGCTTCTTATTTAGGAAGCTGTGATGTTTTTAAATATTGCCACAATCTGTTCTTTTATCTTGTATGTGCTTGCGTTTTGCATGTACCTCAGTTTGACATCTAGCATGAGTCAGTGGCAGAACAATGGTAATTCCTTATTTCTTCTTACATCCCTTCTGCAGGAGCTATAATTATTGGACTTCCCAGGAGTCATTACAGCTCATCAACTAGCAGGAAACATGGAGCTTTTATGAATTCATCTTCCAACTGGTGGCTGGCCACTCACGGTTATCTCATGACTTACAATCTAGGCGCCAAGTGCTCAACAGGCCTGTTTCTTCCAGGGCCTTTCCTGGGAAGACAGTAGTTGGCTGAGGGAGGTTGCTTTCATACAATCAGTGTCATTTCTCCATCAGCTTGCCAGCCTTAAAGATGCCAGAGAAAAGGACAGCCTCAGCCTGCTGGTCAAGTCCACCTGGGTGCTTCAAGATGCCCCCCAAAATGGTTTTAAGTGGGGTTTCAAGCTTGAGGATGGTGAACAATCCTAGGATGAAGATCTATCCAGAAACCCTCAATCTTTGGCTCCAAGGGACTTTCCCGTCTCCCTGCTCCAGACTCAAGGTCTTCGGCGCTGCCGGAAGCGACATTGTGACTTTGGACGGGGCAAGTCAGCCAGCCGGTCACCCAGACTCAGTATGCCCGTGAGGAAAATGGGCGACCTGTGGGTTCCTAAGGGCTGAGGGAAGCTGCCCAGGCAGGGTGCACTTCTGCCCAATGACCGCCTCGCCGACGCCTCAGCTGAGAGAAAGTTTGGGGACAGCTGATTAGGGGAGCAGCGCTTTCAGCCAGAAAGGTGACCGCGAGCCCCGGCCTCGCCTTGGTCTCCGAATCGCGAGGGGGCAGGGTGCACTTCTGCCCAATGACCGCCTCGCCGACGCCTCAGCTGAGAGAAAGTTTGGGGACAGCTGATTAGGGGAGCGGCGCTTTCAGCCAGAAAGGTGACCGCGAGCCCCGGCCTCGCCTTGGTCTCCGAATCGCGAGGATGGAAGCCAGGAAAGGCGAGCAACCCAGCCGCGGGAGAGGGAGGCCCGGATCCCACCGCAGGAGAGGGTTGGTTGTTTTTTGATTGTTTTGTGTATCCTTTGTTCTTTTCCTCTTCTCTTCATGTTTATCCTTGCAATTTGGTGGTTTTCTGTATTGATAAGGTTTGATTCCTTTCTCTTTCTAATTTGTGTATCTATTCTACCAGTAAGTTTTATATTCTCAGGTATTTTCATGATGGTCGTTATTGTCTTTTATTTCTAGATATAGGATTCCTTTAAGCATTTTCATGTAGGGCTTGTCTGGTGGTGATGAATTCCCTTAATTTCTGCTTGTCTGAAAAAGACTTTATTTCTCCTTCATTTCTGAATGATAGCTTTGCTGGGTATAATATTCTTGGTTGACAGTTTTTTTCTTTCAGTACTCCGAATATATCATTTCATTCTCTCTTGGCCTTCAGATTTTCTGTTGAAAAGTCTGCTGTGGGCCTAATGGGGATTCCCTTATCAGTGACTCAATGTTTTTCTCTTGCTGTTTCTAGAATTCTCTCTTTTTGTTTAACTTTGGATAGTTTGACTACAATGTGTTCTGGAGATGACCTATCAGGGTTAAATCTATTTGGGTACCTTTAAGCTTCCTGGTTTTGGATGTTCACATTTTTCCCAAGTCTAGGGATATTTTTAGCTATTATTTCTTTAAATGGGTTTTAAATGTCTTTTTTTTTTTTTTTCTTCTCCTTCTGGAAAGCACATAGTTTGAATATGTGTTTGCTTAAGAGTGTCCCATAGATCTTGCAAGTATTGTTCATTCTTTTTTTCTTTTTGTTTGTCTTTCTGATATATTTAAAAACTATTGTCTTCAAGATCAGAAATTCTTTCTTCTAGGGGCTGGCTCATGGCTCACTTGGGAGAGTGTGGTGTTGTTAACACTAAGGCCATGAGTTTGTACCCCTATATAGTGATGGCCAGTTAGCTCACTTGGGAGAGCATGGTGCTGACAACACTAAGTCAAAGGTTAAGATCCCCTTACCAGTCATCTTTAAATTAAAAAAAAGAAATTCTTTCTTCTGCTTTATCTAGTCTGTTCTTGAAACTCTCAGATATATATATATTTAATTTAATTCCATGAATTCTTCAATTCCAAGAGTTCTGCTTGATTTTTTAAAAGTGATTTTTATCTCTTTGTTGTTAAAGTGATGTTTATCTCATCCAGTCATGCCTGCAGTGAAGTGGCCTGTCCAGCTGCTTTTGAGCAGTGGGCAGGGCTGCTAGGCAGGCCTGCAATGAAGGCCTGAGCAGCCCCTTCTGAGAATGTTGGCAAGGCTACTAGGTGGGACTGTTCAAGACAGAACCTGCTTGGCCACCTCTCAAGGAGGTGATGGACTTTATTTCCACCAGCCCAAGGTCATATTCACTAGGGTAGACACCCATGAGCTGTTTTTCTGGGTTAGGGGCTTAGGTGCACACAACTCAGTCAGGTAGTGGGGCTGGGAAGTAGGGAAAAGAATGGGGGTGGTCTGCTTAAGGAGTGTCTGCCTGTCTGATCTCTGGCTGGGGATGTGGGGGTGCATCAGTTCAGCAGGACTTGGATTGACTTCCCAGACTGCAGAACTAGAGGCAGTCATCATAAGCCCAGGCTTCAAGCTGCTGGGATCAGGGCATTACAGCCTATGAGTGCGCTGGGATGAGGGCGGAGCTTTAAGGCTGGGGAAGCACCATAGCTACTGGCCCCAGGACAGAGTGTGTTCCTACAACAGCTCTGGTTTCAATATGGTGCTGTCCTGCATTAGCTTGGGTTCCAAAGTTGGGGAGTGGGAAGTGCACAGTTTGTGCTGTTTGTAGTCTTCTAGGGCCATGCAGTGTGTGTATTCTAGACTGCTCCCCACACTTGGCTCTGGGCTTGTCCTGCCAAAGTATCCATGGGCCTCTGTGGTGAGGATGAGGGTTCGTGTGGGTCCTCTGCCTACCTTTTTCTTCCAAGGGAAAATTCTTCCTGCACCAATCCCAATGTCAGAGACATGGCAGCTGAGGCCCTGTGCCTCTCTTCTCTATACCACCATCCTGGGCTTTTGTGTTTCACAGGAATCTCACCAGTCTTCTGCTGCACTCCTACACTCTTCCACCAATGCTCCTGTCAATATTTAGCTGTGTGTTAGTTGTTCTGGTCCTTTTCTGTGGGAGGAACTTGCCCTGGGCACCTCCAGTTCACCATCTTGCCCTGCCTCCTCTCAATTAACCTTTATTCGGCACTTATTATGTGTAAGTCATGTGATCATGTGCTAACTGCTTTCAATGTTAAATTAATTAAATTAAATTAAATTAAATTTGAATTAAATCTCACAACAAATGAAGAAAACAAGACACCAAAAAGTTATGTAATCTGAAAAAGGTAAGCCAGCAAAAAGATAGAGTCAATAGTAATTCAAATCTTCTGACTTCAAAATCAATGATTTTTCCTCTTCGCTTTAGCACTTTCCTCCATATTTTAGCATTCTTGGACTTATGCAAACATTATATAGCATTTTGATTTATTGAAATATAAGCTAAAATAATCCTATTACC